GCTGCGGCTGAGCCAAGCCGTTGACATGACGGGCGACATTGAGGTGAGTGCATAAGACGGATAAAAAAAAAACAATTTGCAGCAATCGATTAAGCTACTCTTGTTATTGCCTTTTACACCTGTGTCATCAGCGCTGGCTGAACGAGCTCGTTGCCGTCGTACAGGAGACGCTGCGCGCCCAGATCTATGAGTGCTACAATAATACGAGCGGCGCCAGCGATAATCTCAGCGAACAGCTGCTGGGCCAATATGTCAGCCAGGTGCTGGCCACGGCACGTGCTCTCCACTTCACACGGCAGACGGAGAAGGCCATTGGTGGCATGTCGTTGGCCAAGCTGCAGCAGCAGCTCAAAGCAGAAATGTCACACTTGGCGGCCATGAAACAGCGTTCGGTAGGTGGCAGCCTGCGCTGGCTAAAGCTGAGCGCCTTGCTGCTAGATCTGGTGCATTATGTGGGCGTAGTGGAGCAGCTGCAGCAGCATAATGTGATGAGCCCCAGCGATTGGCATTGGCTGAGTCAGCTGCGATATTACATGGGCGGCGGCAGCAACAAGGCGGCCGATGCCCGCCAGGTGTGGGTGCGCATGGTTTATGCTGAATTTGAATACGCATACGAATTTCTCGGACATGCCAATAAGCTCGTGCACACACGGCTCACACACAAATGCTATCTAATACTCACACAGGCCATGCATATGGGCCTTGGCGGTAATCCGTTCGGTCCGGCGGGCACGGGCAAAACGGAGTGCGTTAAGGCCCTGGGCGGCATGCTGGGACGCCTAGTTCTGGTCTTCAACTGTGATGAGGTGAGGGTCCCAGGCTCGTCGTGTCGATTTGTCATAATATTTCTCTGTGTGTGCTTGCAGAACGTGGACACCGAATCGATGAGCCTAATCCTAACTGGTTTGGCCCGCTGCGGCGCCTGGGGCTGCTTTGATGAGTTCAATAGACTGCAGGAGGCAACTCTATCATCCATATCCATGCTCATACAGCCAATACAGAGTGCCTTGAAGGACAAGGCGGACAGCGTGCAGATTGGCGAGCGTCAGGTGAGAATAATGATAAATGACCGCACGGTTCAATTGCAATCGAGGTTGACTTCAAAGCAACTGAACTGAAGGGTTTCCATTCACTTCGTAAACTAGCAAAGCTTAAAGTTGTTTTATTCAGAAACGATTGAAGAAGTGGGTGAATAAAGAGTGATGTATAGAGAGATGATTGATCATAATAAGGGATAGATGTATGTTAGACCACGATGATGACTGATTTATAAAATAATTGATATAAGAATAGATTGAAAATGAAAATTGGTTGATCAAACTGATTAAAGGATTGAGGAACTAAAGGATAAGGGATGGTCAATTAATAGATTGATGTAGATTGATGAAATAATTGATTATAAATAGGTAATGGATAGATGATTAATTGATGGATTGAATGATGATTGACGATTGATTGATTGATTGATGATTGATGATTGATGATTGATTATTGATTATTGATAATTGATGATTGATGATTGATGATTGATTGAATGATAATTAATGATTGATTGACTGATTGATTGATGATTGATGGTTGATGATTGATGATTTATGATTGAAGATTGATGATTGATGGTTGATGATTGATGATTGATAAGTGATGATTGATGATTGATGGTTGATGATTGATGACGCTCGATTAATTATTGATGGATTGACTGATTGATTGATGATTGATGGTTGATGATTGATGATTTATGATTGAAGATTGATGATTGATGGTTGATGATTGATGATTGATAAGTGATGATTGATGATTGATGGTTGATGATTGATGACGCTCGATTAATTATTGATGGATTGAAAATTGATGATTGATGATGGTCGATTGATAATTGATTGATTAATGATTGATGATTAGTATGAATGATTGATGAGTGGTATGAATGATTGATATATATATATATATATATATATATATATATATATATATAAAGTGATGGATGAGTGATAAGTTAGCTGATTGACTGATGCACAGGAATTTAAACTGATGAACAAATTTCTGAGTTTTGATTGACTAGTGCGTAGTGAGAATGTGATTGAATAATTCACAGTAAATTTCCAAATCAATCATGTAAGAATTCTTGTTGATTGGCGGATTGACAGACTGATGCTCTTAGTGACTGATGGAAAAACGAATATGATTGACGAATAGATTTGTATGCTAGACAGATTAACTTTCAGAGATAGGATTATAAGAGAAGTATAAATAACTGGATTAATTAAAGCTTTAAAGCAAAAAATATTTATAGATTTATTAGCTACTCTTTATAAAGTTAGTTGCCTGATTTAGCTCAAACTTATTTGGAAACCCACAACAGGTGCAGCTCAACCAGCACTGTGGTATTTTTGTGACCTTGAATCCGGCGGGCGGGGAGTACGGCGGCAGGCAGAAGCTGCCTGGCAACATTCAGGCGCTATTTCGACCGATTGTTATGCAGCAGCCGGAGCCGGGCGAAATTGCACGCGTTATGCTATTCGTGGAGGGCTTTGCGGCTGCTGCGGATATTGCGGCGAGAATTGTGGAGCTCTTCGATCTATGCGGTAAAATGCTGTCAGCCCAGCGGCACTACGACTGGGGACTGCGCGAACTGAAAACCGTGCTGCTCGTCTGCGGCGAGGGACTGCGCGCGCAATTAGCGGGAATGTCAGCAGCGACCCTTAATGAGCATTCCAATGCCAGTCACAGCCCGACGGAAATTGGTAATGATGAAATGCGCATTGTTGTCCATTGTCTGCGCTCATCAACCATGTCCAAGCTGGCGCAACAGGACGTTGAACGCTTTGAAATGTTGCTGTTAAATGTGTTTCCCGAAATTGGCGCCTCGGAGGCGCCGTTGACACCGCTGCGCCAGGCACTGACCGCAGCCTTTGGCCCACTTGGCCTCGGCGCGAACGACAAGCAAATCGAAAAGGCACTGCAATTGCACGAACAGCTGCAGAAACGCATGGGCGTCGTGCTCGTCGGTCCACCTGGCTGTGGCAAATCGAGCATTCTATCACTGCTCCGACAGGCACTGACCACAACAACAGGCACACAGCTGCGCGTCCATACCATCAGCCCCAAGTCGATGAGTCGCGTGCAGCTGCTGGGTCGCCTGGACACCGACACGCGCCAGTGGCTAGACGGCGTTCTCACCCACACAGCGGTGCTGGTCAATCAGGAGCCCTCGCATGTTCACTCCTGGATTGTGTGCGATGGCAGCATTGACCCCGAGTGGATAGAGGCGCTCAACTCGGTGCTGGATGATAATAAGTGAGTATTAATTGCAAATATCTAAAGAATGTAGTGGTATATGGCTTATATTATATTATATTAACTAACTTGGCCTGAAGTAAATATTTTAATTGGAACTCTACTCAGTTTTCCATGATCTTCTAGGCAGCATAACATACTCTGTTATTAGTAATACTTTTTTCTTTTCTAAAATACACAAATGTTTTTTCACAGTTTTTTTGCCACAACTTAAAACATTTTTAAAAAATTTTAAAATTATAAAAATTAGCCTGAAACATTGAGATTTAAAATGAGCAAAGTTTCACTCATTTTTCGTTGCTATAATTCAACTACTTTAGACGCTTTTTATACCATATATCTTAACAGCCTGTCTAAATAATTCTACTTGTCCCTCTAAAATTAATTCTATTTTTTCGGTATCAACAAAATTTGAATTTTCCCATTTTTTACTACGTTTTCAAGTTTTTTTAATACCAAAATATAGGTATAGTTATTTTTAATATATTGAACTTATTTCCTATTATGAAGCCAAAAGTTAATTGTTTAAAAAAACTTTAATAAGATTTTAAAGCTGCTCAAAAATATTGTTTTTAAATTTATAAAAGCAATATGCGATATAAGCTAAAATTATAAAAAAAATATGTTTCCACTCATCTCTCTATAATAAGTAATATACACATAAAATGTATGCTTTAGGCATTTTTCAAAATAACTCTTCAGCAACTATCTTGGCCCTTCAAAAAATAATTACTACTTCCCTGCTTAGCCAAGTTTATTAACATTTGTTCACCTTTCACTCTAGTTCCACTTTTCGAATATATATAAAAAACAAATGAAGTTTCATTATCATTTTTTAGCAACAGCTTTTGCTAATATATTTTGCTCATACTTGCGCATAAATTCGTATTAATTATTTGCGGCTTGCCATATATATAATATAATATATGCATACATATATATATATATATTTCAATATATATATATCGTATGGAATATACAATTTGTTAAACGTACATATCAATTATCATATATATATATATATATCGTATCGTATCTTAATGTTGCAAGTATTGTATTGTACGGATGGGCAAATGCATCCCCTATCACTTAGCTACCGAAACAAACAAAAGCGACTTAAAACATAGAAATGCTCAAAACTATGACATAAAATGAGGGAAGCCCACTAAAACAATAACGTAACGTAACGTAACGTACTAAACGTAATACACAACGTAACGGCATTTTACAAATGACGTCAAAGAGTCTCTCTTCGTTTTGACATTGCACTCGAGTGCGAGCCTGAGCGGCAGAGCGTTGTAATTGTTTTGGAACTAGTATTCGGTTCATTTGAACTGGTTCTTTAAAGTAGCTGCCGATCGTAAAGTAAACATTTTAGATATCTGAGTCAGGTATAAATGTTGGAATATTATTTGGAACTAGTTCTCTTAAATGGTTGAAGCTAAAGTTTTTTTAAACAAAAAATTCTGATCGGTTATTTTTTGAATATTTTGGCATATCACCAAGAAACTAAGAACTAGTTCTTTTGAATTTGTTTCGTAAATTGGCGTTAGTTAAAATTTCCTTAACAAATTAAATTCGATAAAAATATAAACAAGCGAGTATAGAACAAAACAAAATCAAACAAAAAATTCCCATTTAACTTATCTAAACTTCGTTAATTTCAGATCTCTATGAACTATGTATACCAGTTATCCCTAGTTAGTTTTAAGCAATTTCAAATGAGATTTAAGTGCACGTAATACGAAATTTTGCGAAATTTTCTATTTAAAGCTCATAGATCGAATTGCGCCAAAAAACTAGTTCATATACTATGACAACTTATGAGTACACTCTGCCGCTCTGCCGCACTCAGACAATCTCTCTCTCTCTCTCTCTTTACAAAATAAACATGAACTTGAACTTTGAAATGCGTATGTGGCTAGTTGAGCTTATGAACTAAAGGCGAGTGCGTTAATCTCTTATTATTGCGCATGCTGCTGCAACTGTTGCTGTTGCTGTTGCTGCGGAGGCGGCGGCGGTGGTGGCTGTGGCTGTTGCTGGTGCGTCGTCGATGACGATGGCGGCGGCGGCGGTGGCAGCGCCACTGTGGGCGGTGGCGGCAACGGCGCTGCTCGCATATGCTGCATATGCGCCTGTGGCGCCATGTGCTGAAACATGTTGCAGTGCTGCTGCTGTTGCTGCTGCAAGTGATGCTGCTGCTGCTGCTGTTGCTGGTGTGCATTGAAGTGGTGCTGCTGCTGCTGCGCGGGATTGACATCGGGTGGCGTTTGCAATATAATCTCTGGCTCCAGATTGAGCGCCATATCAGGATCATCCGGCTGCTGGGGGCCGCCGCGCAACGAGGCAAGCGCTGCCGCCTGGGCAGCAGCCACTGCCGAGGCAGAGCTCGTCGCAGCGGCGGCAGCAGCCGCAGCACTTAAGCTACTCACATCCTGGCAGCCGTACTCCTGCTTGATGCCATTCGGTGGCGCTGGGTACAGCGAGGCGCCCAGATTCTGGTGCAGTATGGGATGGCAGAGCTGGGGCATCAGCGTTACGCCGGCAATGGGCAGGGCGGGATGCCCAAAACTGGGCGGCGGGTACAGTTGCTGCAACTTGTTCAGCTGCTGCAGATGCGTGGGCGTGGCATGACCAGCTGGCGCCGTCAATTGCGTCAGACCAGACGTCGCGCTTGGCACATGGGACATATTGCGGCGGCGCTGCTGCTGCTGTTGCTGCTGCTGGTGCGCCGCTGCTGCAGCTGCTGCCGCTGCCGCTAGCTGATGCTGTTGCTGCTGCTGTTGGTGGTGTGTGGATGGCTGCTGCTGTTGCTGCTGATGCTGTTGCTGCTGCTGCTGCTGCTGCTGCTGCTGCTGTTGTTGTTGCTGTGTCTGAGGCGTCGATATGATCACCTCAGGTTCAACAGGCACTGGCGGTATAATGGCCGCAAATTCGGGCGGTAATTGCGTGGGATCAGTCACCAGGAGACCCTTTTTACGCTCCTTGCGTATCTTATCACGTAGCTTCTCCAGCTGCCGGAACGCCTCATTGGCGCGTCGCGCCTTCTTCCTATCACGATCGCGCTCCTGCTCCAGCCTGCGATACTCGGGATTCATGCGTTTGATGCGCTTCCGTTCGCGATCTCTTTCGCGCTGTATCATTTTCTGGCGCAGCTCCTCCTCGGGCGTCAGCTGAAAGTTAAATAGAAACAGGGGAAAACTTATTAAAGCACAATGTGGCTGGCTCAAGCAACTGGGGGCGATTGTAATCTGTATTGAAGGTCGGCAGTCGTCTGGTATCTAATGATAAATCCAACTATGTCCCAGCCCAGCCCAGCCCGGCTCAATCCAACTACTTAAAGCTAACTTCCTGTCGACGTCTGCGTCTGCGTGTGAGTGTGTCTGTGCGTGTGCGTATGTTGTGTGTCTGTGTGTGTGTGTGTGTGTTATATATAATTTAGAAATATATATTGGAAAAATGCTACGTTAGCACGTCGTGCCTTCTTGCGAAATCTATCGCGCTCGCGCTCCATACGCCGATATTCGGGATTCAGGCGCTTGATGCGCTTTCGCTCTCGATCTCGCTCGCGCATGATGAACTTGTGACGCGCCTCCTCCTCGGGTGTCATCAGCTGCAATATAGAGATGGGAAGCGATGGAAGAAGAGTATCAAATACCAGAACTAAAGTAGCTCAATGGGAAGAGTTCAATAGAACAGAATTTTGTTTGGGTTTAGAATTTGTGCAGCTGAGCATGTATATGTCTAATGCTAATCAGTAGAGAATTTTCTTTACAGAAAACTAAAATAAAACAATTTAAAATAAAACAAAATTATTTTAATTGATTTTACGCTCTTTCATCTGCTTGCGAGCGAGAATTCTTAGACGAGAATTTGCATTAACAGCGCCAACTTAACATTTCTAATTAACAGACATTCTTGGCTGAGCAGTGATAAAAAAATTAAATGTTAAGCAAATGTGGCGCTCTCTTTGCTTTTATTAACAGCATCTGTTAGGCGTCTGTGTGATTTCTTTGAACAGCCATTAGACATATACATGTCAAAAGCAGGGTATTTCAGAACTGTTTCTGTTAGTGTTTTGTGTGTACTTTAATATTTGTTCCTTTAACCAATCATATCTTGAAACATTTCGCAGACTCTTAACGCTGCCCTCTGGCTGGCGCATACAGTTCGGCAACAATGTGAACTTTATATTTGAGACTGACGACGTGCGTCATGCCTCGCCGGCAACCATATCACGCATGGGCATTGTGAACATGAGGTAAGTAACTTGGGAGAGTATCAACAGTCGATGCTAACTGAATATTGCTTTAAACAGCTACGATTATTATCCCTTGACTGAAGTGCTCAAGTATGAGCTGGGAAAGGAGCCTTTTGGCGATCTACTGCAAAGCTACATCGATGAAAATTTCAGGACAGCTTACGACTGGCTGCAAACTGAGCAATTGTTGGGGTAAGCAAAAGCTAACAATAAGATATAAAGCTTAACTATATTACTATATATAACTGAGAACTGACAAAAGATGAGGTTGGTCTGAAAAATATCGATCTTGAGTTAATATAATTATTTTAAAGTGAAATTGTCAAATTACATTAATAGCTGATACAGTAATTCGGAATTTTATATCTTTCATTTTGTGGGTCTCTTTCAAGGGAATGCCTTAATTGCCTCACATATCTTATCATACTTGGACATATATTAAAAATTTTTAAAAATTTGATATCGAATCTAATCCTAATCAATATTTAGAAGATCAAATACAGTCAATATAATATGTGTAGCTATTAACTTAAATAACTCATTACTCGATTGATTAGAGAACTAAACAAGTTAGAGAAATATGATATCATAAGACAAACAAATTTTAAGAATAATAGAGAATTCTATGAGTTATATCATTTCAGAAATACAAATACAATAGTTTCTTCAAAATATAAACTAGACATAAAAAAAAATATGAACTAAAACATTTTAAAGCCTTTATGACTGCTTTACCTAATGATCTAGCTAAACTGAAAATATATTAAATAATAAATCAGACAACGCTGCGCCACTATAAAATGAGCTCTATCACTAAATATCTAACCGGCAGTAAAACCTTTCTAATTATATCAATTTTGCGTGCATTCTTAAACACATAATTCCCCATTTAGTCAGATGCCCGGCATAAGTCGTGCTAGTCTGTTGCGCTCCCTTCTGCTGCAGCTGCACAACTGCCAGACGATCGAGGAGTATGGTGCAGCCACATTACGTACAATGCTCGGCTACATTCCCAGCGAGCGACAGCGAGAGTTTGCGCAGCTGGTGCTGCAGCGTGCGAATCTGTATGTGGCACAGCCCAATCATGCCGAGCTGAGCTACTATGAGCCGCAGCGCAAGACACTCGAACAGTATGTGGCAGGAGTTATTGAGACGCCCGAGCATGACAGTCAGCTAATAGTTACAGCCTATGTCAAATCATATTTGTACACAATCAATTCGCTGCTGGAGCTGCCGGCTGGCCGTGTGACGCCTTTCATATTGGTCGGTCCCAGTGGGGCGGGCAAGACGCTGCTGCTGGAGCAGGCGCTGCTGGAGTGCTCGGGCTATCAGCTGGCCAGCATCAATTGCTCCACACAGCTGACGGCTGGCTATGTACTGCACACGTTGCGCACGCACTGCGTCACGGTGAGCGGTGTGCGTGGGCGTGAATATAAGCCGAAGCAGTCGAGGCTGGTGCTGTTCATGAAGAATTTGGATTTGTGCCAACTGGATGCCTGGGGCGCCTGCGAGATTGTTGAGCTGCTGCTGCAGCTGGTGCAGCGCGGCGGCTTCTATGCGGAAAATCTGGAATGGATTAGCGTCAGTGGGCTGCAAATTTGTGCGTCCATTAGTGGCAATTTGTCAAAAATTTCACCCCGCTACTTGGCCATCAATCAATATGTGCGCGTGGCCCGGCCCAGCGCTGCCGATATGCTAGCCATCGTCCAGTGCCGCCTCGAGCCGTTGCTCCATACGCATTTCAAACCAATGCCTGGCAGTTCCATCAATTTGCAGCATGTCAGCGAGTGCCTAATGGAGTGCTTCGAAAAGGTAAAGTCGACTGCCTGCCATATGCTCTTTGCCTGATTTGCTTAGCTGGTATTTCTCTCTCCCACTCTTTGCAGCTTCAGGCAGCTTTTACTGCGTCCACAAGTCAACAGCAACAGCAGCAGCAGCAGTTGCAGCAGTTGCATTATCAGTTTAGCCCCAAGTGCATTATGAAGCTCTTGGCGGGTCTCGTTTACTATCCGTCAACTGACTTCAATGAGGCAAGTGACTTAGTTTGCTACTAATTGAATTGCCTCACTTTTTGTGCCATTTCTCCGTCCATTTGCAGGCTTTGCATTGCGAGCTGTTGGGCTTGTTTAGGGATCGTTTGGCCAGCGAGGAGCATGTGCAGCAATTTGAATCTATTTTAAAGCAAACTATGCGCAAATACCTAGGCAAGGAGGTCGGTGCAGAGCCTAAATAATTTACTATATCCATATCTTTGTCAATTGCCTTGAAACTTTGTGTTTATAGAAAGTCTACTATGTACCCAAGACGCCCAAGTCAAAAGGACAGCTGCACGGACTGGCTCACGATGAGTGGCTGGAGGAGGTGCAAAGGCAAATTACAATATGCAGTAAGTAGTGTTTAGCGAGGCAGTGTACTAGAGCTCATATATCATGGGAAAGTAATGGCTTTCTTGAAACTTAATTTATCTCAAGGCCTAGACTCGAATATTGAGTGCCTTAGTTCAATAAATTTTCTGTATTTTTTGGCTTTAAGTTAAGTCTACATATATTTTGATCTAAATATCTCTTGCTTAGGTAACCTATGCTCAAATATTTTCCTATTCTTCACTCACATTTTTTGAGTCAAAGGCCTCAATCGTGCAGGCCACAACTAAGCATCGAAGTAAAGCTTTACATTGGTTTCAAGACTATGCATAGAAAGTTAGGTTTGAGTCCTTTGCCGTTTCAAGATATGAGTAGTTAAGAGAGTTTTGAAAAAGAGGGGAAAAAACACAAGAGCAATACAATATGAATCGGGATAACTACACTGGGCCTTGGCGTCTGTTTGCGAAATCGATCCCGCTCTCGTTCCATTTGCCGATACTCGGGATTCATGCGCTTGATGCGCTTTCGCTCCCGATCCCGTTCCCGCATGATGAACTTTTGGCGTGCCTCCTCTTCGGGGGTCATCCACTGCAAGTACATAGAGAACGGGTTGAAAATAATAGAAAAAGCTTCGAAACACAGAAGAATTTAATTAGAGTAGTAAAAGGTAAAAAAAGTAAATAGTTGTTAATGTAGCTGAATGTTAAAGTGATGCTGTTAACTAAGCTGTAGCTGTTAACTCAATGCTAGTTCACTGTTACCTGAGCTTACATATGTTAGACCTATGTTAGCTTTGCAAGTTAGCTAAATCCCTCAATTGTAACTTCTAGATACAGAAAGCTACAGCATCTCATCGCCCATCACAGAGGAGCTGCTGCAGCATACGGCCAAAGTGGCACGAATTCTCTCCAGAAGCGATGCACACTTGCTGATCCTGGCTGAGGCGGGTGATCGCCATCTGGATGCCATCTATGCAGCTGCTACACTGCAGCAGGCCAAGGTCCTGACTCTACAGGGCAACGCCAGCTATGCGCTGTCGGATTTCTACAACGACTTGAAACTGGCCATGCAGACGGCTGCGTTGGAACAGCAGATGAGCTATCTACTCATCGAGCATTGCTGGCTCAGTTATGTGCCCGATATACTAAAGCCCATTGAAGCACTTCTGGAGGGCAGTGAAATACTGGAGCTGTTTGGCGACGACTTGGAGACGGTGGCCAGCACGCTGAAGCAAGCGGCACAGCTGGAGGGCTATCAAGAGTCCCTGGGCGCATACTTTATGAAGCGTGAGTGTGAGTAGAGCGAGGTGGAGGAATCCCAGTTAATAGCTCATGTGTGTTATAGGTGCGCGAGAGCATCTGCACTTGGTACTCGTGCTCGAGCCGAGCAGTCCGCAGCTGGCGGAATACTTCAGCACCTGCCCAGCCTTGCATCGTCAAATGGATATGCTCTACGTGCGTGCAGAGTCACGTGACTCGCTGGCCATGCTGCCCAAACAGTACATCGAGCTGCTCAACGAGGCGACGACTGCGGCAGCGGGGCGTGGCAAGGTGCCCGTTTGCAGTCACTTCGGCGACGTGGCCGAAGAGCTGCCGCCCGAGCAGCCAGCGCATCGCTACTATCAGCTCATCAGCAGCTACTTTCACATGTACAGCAATGCAGCAGCAGAGATTGATCAGCGTATGGGCAAGCTGCAGCTGGGCGTGGACAAGTTGGCTGCTGCGCATGCTCTGGTCGACACACTGAAGTCCAATGCAACGGAGCAGGAGCAGGCGCTGGGCGAGAAGCGCAAGTTGGCCAATGATGCATTGCAGATGATCTCTGCGACGATGCACAATGCGAACGAGCAGAAGTCAAATATGTTGGAGCTGAAGCAGCAGACGCAGCAGAGCAGCGAGCAGCTCAAGCTGCGGCAGCGTGAGATACAGCAGGAGCTGGCGGAGGTGGAGCCGATCTTGGCCGAGGCCAGCAATGCTGTGGGTCAAATCAAGTCCGAGGCACTCTCTGAGATACGTTCGCTGCGCGCACCACCCGAAGCGGTGCGCGACATACTGGAGGGCGTGCTGCGGCTGATGGGCATACGTGACACCTCGTGGAACAGCATGAAAACGTTTCTGGCCAAGCGCGGCGTCAAGGAGGATATACGCTCTCTGGATCCGGCGCACATTAGCCCAGAGAACTGCCAGGCCGTGGAGCGGCTGCTGGCGGCGAAAGGTGACTCCTACGAGTCCAAGAATGCCAAGCGTGCTTCTGCAGCGGCAGCCCCACTCGCTGCCTGGGTGCAGGCCAGCGTGCGTTACTCACGCGTCATTCAGAGCATTAAGCCGCTGGAGCGCGAACAGAATGAGCTGCAGCGCAATCTGAATGCAGCCGAGGATGAGATGCAGCAGCTGGCCAGCGGCCTGGACGATGTGGACAAGCGCGTGCAAAAGTTGTCTGCGAAGTTGCAAACGTACACGCAGGAGGCGGCGGTGCTGGAGCTGAAGCTGCAAGAGGCAGGCGCCACGCTGCAGGCAGCGGAGCTGTTGGTGGGCAAACTTAGCGCTGAGTATGCCACCTGGAGCGAGCAGCTGGCCGAACTGAAGAGAGCTCACAAGACACTGGATAGCAAAACATTGCTGCTGGCATTGGCCATCAATTACTATGCGGGCTGGGGCGTCGAGCAACGCGGGTAAGTTGAACTCTGAGGAGGCCTATTTAATGGACTCAAATTATGCTTCATAAATGGGATTTTAGACAAGCAACAGAAACTGTATTAATTAGTATATATACGTTACATTTGTAGAGTATTTTGCATGGGTAGATTTAGTTTGTAGAGGTGGCTTGAGGAAGCAATTTATTGGCAAGAAAATATGAAGCAAAACTTCATTAAAGATTATGAAACTTTCCTTTAAAAAGAAAACATAAACTGCTGTAGTTAAAGTTGGATAAGGAATTATTTAAAATGAATTTGACTTGCTTAGAAATAGCTTGGATTATGCATTGATAGCTTTATATCTGTGAAGCTTTCTTATGCAAATATTACTGAAGCAGCAGTAGAAGTTTCTTTGATGTAGGAATAATTGTAGTGAGACATGGGAAACGATAATTAATCAGTTAAATATTGAGAGAATAAATGTAGAATATCCCACATCAATTTCATCCTAATAAAAGAATAAGCAAAATTTATAAAATTACAGCAAATTGCAAATTGTGTCTTCCACTGAAAGTCAGTAGAGTAAGGGGAGTATAATGTACTGGGGAGTAAGGCGAGCATAATCTACTGAATACATAAATATTAACACACATTCTCTATGATACTCTCTAATATATACAATAATACTCTAGACTATCTTTTGAGTTCCTATGCTCTCAAAGCAGTGCCAGCAAGCGTCATCCACATTTGAGCCTCTCGTTTTAAAATCGCAATCCAGTTGCTTAGCCACTAAAAAGAGTCAAATATTAATAATGGCATTTATCAGATACAACAACTTAAATGCCCTTGCTGCCTTTACAGCACCATAGTCAAGCGTCTGAGCAAGGAGTTTCAACTGTCCGGAACGGAAGGCTTTGATCTACGTCGCACGCTCGTCACCGAACAGCAGCAAATCATTTGGGAAAGTCAGGGCTTGGCGCGCGATGCGCAGATCATTGAAAGTGCTGCGCTGCTGCGTGAGATGCTGGCGCTGCCCTTTGGCAGTTGCCCAGTGCCGCTGCTGCTGGATCCCACCCAGACGGCGGGGCAATGGCTAAGCGCGCATTTGCGTGCAACGGGCCGAGCCAGCGAGCTGACAAGCCAAGGCAACGAGCGGCTGTGCTATCAACTGGAGCTGGCCGTGCGCTTTGGCAAAACGCTGCTGGTGACGGACTGCGAGCAGCTGCGCCCGCCGCTGCTGGAGCTGCTGCAGCTGCACATCTATGTGCGCTTCAACAAGCGCCAACTGGCAGTGGGCAATAAGTTAGTGGATCTCCATGAGGATTTCCAATTGGTGCTGATCAGCAAATCGCATCGTCTGCAGCAGTTGCCACCGGAGCAGCGAGGGCAAGTGAATCTGCTGCGCTTCACAGTGACAGCCACTGGGCTGGCAGACCAGCTAATGTCCAAGGCAATTGTACTAAAGAATCCGGCGCTGGAGCAGCAGCGCATCGAGCTGCTGCAGCGAGAGGGCGAGCTGCTTAAGCAGCGCATGGCGCTCCAGGACAAGCTACTCGAGCAGCTGTCCAAGGCCGAGGGCGACATTTTGCGCAACGAACCGCTGCTGGCCAGCCTGAACGAGGTGAAGCGCAGCAGCGCGGAAATCGATGCGGCGCTGGAGCAGAGCGGACAGGTTAAGCAAACGCTGCTCTCGCAATTCGGCGCGCTGCGTGAACTCTGCGAGCAGGCAGCCAACTTTTATGCGGGCTTAACGCAGGGCTATGAGCTATCGGCTTTGGTTTACATTGAGCTGTTCCTGGGCGCCTTGCGTACTCAGGATGCACAGCAACAACAGCAGCAGCAACTGTTCGAGCGTCTCGTACGCAGCGTCTATTTGCATCTGGCGCGTGCCACACCACGCGAAAGTCAATTAACATTGGCTTTGTGGGTTTGCCGACAAGCCTTCGGCTCAGCCATTGGCGCCAAGGAGTGGGAGCTGTTTGTCAGCAACTTCATGGGCAGCGCTGATGGCAGCAGTCAGCTAATTGGCGGCCTGCCCGACTGCATGAGCCGCGAGTCGCAATTGAAGCTGGCTCAGCTATTGCAACAGCTGCCGGAGCTAAAAGGACAACTGCAGCTGGACAGGGACTACGTGTGGCGCGGCTTTATCGAACAGCAAACGGACGACATACTGCGTGAGTAAATGTAGCTGATTAGTATATGAATATGGCAATTAAATGATATTACGAGATACCTATTCAAGTCTGCAATAGCTGGGGTATACCCTACTGCCCGAAGGGCCACTCTCTCTCTTTGCTCTCTGTCTGTTGTCTACGCCTCCAGTTCACATCTTTCCATCTATTCTTTTCACCATCCAGCCAACATCAAGTCCCACTTTCAACGCGTGCTGCTGGCCCAAATCTTTCGACCGGATTTGATGCTGGCGCAGCTGCGTTTAGCCAGCAGCCAATTGTTGGGCCTGTCCCCAGAAGCGGCCACACAGCCAACAGTGCTGCAGCTGCTGGAGCAGAGCAGCTGCGATCGTCCCATATTGATGATAAGTCAGCCGGAACTAGATCCAGCAACAGAACTTCGTGGCGTAGCTCTCAAAAAGTGGGGAGCACAAAAGTACGTGGAGCTGGCCATAGGAAGAGGCAGCGAGCAGCGCGCTTTGACGGCCATGCGACAGGCTGCGGGCCAGGGTCAGTGGCTGTGCGTGAAGAATGTGCATCTGGTGCCCGAGTGGTTGAGCCAGATGGAGCGCGAGCTGAGCGAGCTGCATAAGTCTCAGGACTTTCGTCTCTGGCTGCTCTGCGAGTCCACCAAAGGCTTCAGCGACGCGGCCGTCTACAAGTGCCTCAAGGTGCGCTACGAGCAGCCGCGTGGCCTCAAGCAGCAGGTGCAGCGCATGCTGCAGAATTATGCTGGCCTCGAGCCTGAGGCGACAAGCAAGCAGCCTGCCAAGTGCTTGAAGATGCGATTGGTGCTCTTCCTGCTGCAGGCTGTGCTCCAGCAGCGGCGTCAATATATACCCCAGGGCTGGTCCAAGTACTACGAGTTCGGCGAGGCGGACCTGAAGGCGGCACTGGGCGTACTGAGCTGGCTGGATGCACAGTTGAACAGCGGACGCTGCGATTGGACCTTGATGCAGCGTCTCTGCGAGGCGGTGGCCTATGGCGGACGACTGAACAACGAACGGGATGTGGACATACTAAAGACTTATCTAGCTCAGTTCTGCTGTGCGGATGTGCTAAGCAATCGCTGGCAGCCACTGGGCTTGCCGAGCTCCATTCCCACCAGCGCTCAGCTGCAGGATTACTATGCAGCTGTCGAGAGGCTGCCCGATGTGGATGAGCCGCGCATGTATGGACTGGCTAGTCAGGCGCAGCAGCAGCGTGAAATCGAGCAGGCGCGTCTCATCATCAAGGAGTTGCGAGCGCTGCAGTTTGGTGGATCTGCTGCAGGCAGCGAACTGGCCACGCCCAGCTCCAGACAACGACTGCAGCAGCAAATCAAGCCTTTGCTCAGCTTGTGGAGGAAGTTGGCCAATAGTTGCACCATTAGCCAGACGGCCAAGGAAGCGGCAGCTACTAGTGGCACAGCCACGCCCACGCCCACGCCCACGCCCTGGACACTATTTGTGCTCGCCGAACTACAGCTAGGCGCCCAGCTCTATAGAGCTGTGCATCAGCTGCTGTCGCAGCTGCACAATTGGCTGAAGGAGACGAGCAGCGCGGAACAGCCAGCGGATGTGGATGCCAGCACAATGCTGGCGCTGGCCGAGCAGCAGGTGAGTGAAAAGAGGGCGATACTGAGGGGAGAATAAACAGTGCTGCCTTGCCAGGTAGAACGCTGCTGTTGCCATGCATGCCTCTTGCAGGAAATATAGAAAATTAAATGTGAATTAATTTGGTAAGGATACAGTTGGAAAGTGATTTGGTACAGTGAAAACACAGCTTAATGAACAACTAAAATAATAGTTCAGATTGTTTTGTTGTTAGAAATATGTATCTAAAGTAGGCATTAGATTCAGAAGCTAGGCCTTTTAGTATACCTAAAGCAGCTGCTCGCTTACAGAGTTTTTACTGTAGATAGCTTTATATGGAGCATAGGACACAGCTATATTAAAGCTATCATGGAGTTAATAGGTACAAAATTTTGGTGTCGCCTAAAAACATCTAATTAAAATTCAAGAATTCCTAATTTTAAATTTTTTCTCAGCATAAATAAGCTATATATTATATATAAGTAACTGATCAGAATTAATTTCCTATATGAAAACTTTTTTGATTTGTATCAAAACTAAATTTGTTCAATTAAAAAATGGATATTGTTCTGCAGAATTGAGTTTAGATAGATATATAGATATTTATATATGATTATTATATATGTCTCTATAGAACTCTTATATCATAAGCTCTTATAGACATGGGCATATATAACACACATATATTTGACTACTAGGTACACTATATATATATATAGTATTAAATAGCTTTCCTTATATATAATACTGTGAAGATAGATAGATGAAGATATATAACAAAAAGGAAACTTTCATGAAACTGGCTTTATGATATAAGACTTCTATCACACATCTATAGCTAATCTATAAACGATATCTATAGCATAATATAAGATATCCAGTCAGATAGTATAGCTATAAGCAGGACGCATTGAAGCCCTTTTGCTTTTCGCTGGCATAGAGGAGCAACTGATAGAGCTGCTACTTTAATATCATCTTCTCCTCTTTGTCACGCAGGTGCCGCACAGCTGGCAGAAGCTGTGGCCTGGGCCGAGCAGCCGCAGCGCCGTTGACTACCTGCGCGCTCTGATGGTGCGTGCGGAGGCAGCAGAGCAGCGCTTCAAGCAGTCGCTGCAGCTGGAATTTGGCCAGGAGCTGAACCTCAAGCAGGTCTTCAACTGCGAGAATCTGTTGGCTTGCTTCAAGTTGCAGCAGGCGCGCAAGTGTTGTGTATCCACGCAGCGACTCCAATTGCAGTGTGCGAAGGCCAGCGACGGCGGCGGAGCTGGGGATCTTCTTTTGCTTAAGCTGGCGCCGCTTAAGGTGAGTTTTTCTTGTATTCCTTCTTTTTTCATATATATTTAGTTTGCCTGGTGCGTGCTGCTGTCCGTCCGCTCGGCTGTCTCGCCTGCCTGTCTGTCTGTCTGTCAATCAACGCTATCTCTTTTCATTGCTTGGCTGCTGAACTCTTTTGTCTTTTTCTTTCCTTTTTTTGTTTTTTTTTTCTTTGCTTACCTTGCCCATCTTGGCCATAAAGTGAGTCTCCAGCTTGGCGTTTTTTGTTGGTTTATCACTTGTATAGAATCAAATTTAATTTATATTTACAACATTTAGTTTGCATTTACTACAGAGCTTGATTTCTCTGCAGTTTTTCGCTTTTTTTCACGCCGCTTCTTTTTGTTTATTTGATTGACATTCCGGCGCTCTGTTAACTAGGCACCAGGGCTGCACAGCAATACTGTTGTCTGTTATCTAAGCAAGTATTTTATGAGTAGTAATGTTTGTGTGAATGAATTGATAAAAGAAAATTACTCAATTAAAAAGAAATAATAAATAATAAATAAATAATATTCGCTGTATTTAAAATATGCTAAACTGCTTCACCCATTCAAATAACATGTGATTAAGTTATATTACACATTTGCTCCTCCTGTTAATGTACTCAAGTGACTTTAAACAGCGAGGAGCAAGTTTTTGTTTATGCTAAAAATGAACACTGCGTTAAATGAGCACCTGTTCGTTCACTAAGTACTTTCGTTAAGCGCTGCTTTGTTTCGATGCTAATGGTTCGTGCATAGACTAAACCAATTATGGTTATTGTCTAAATAAATATAATATAAATTTTTATCCAATTTCAAATACTCTTTATTTTTATTCAACCCCATTAGCTTGATGGTAACACACAGATACTTAATGGCAGCGAATCGAGTCCATTTTACATCACATACAAAATCAAGGACAACGAAATAACCACCAACGACGATAAGTTCAAGAAAATCGATCGATTCGCCAGCAGCAGGCAGCATACCGAAGAGCGCATTACCCTACCGCTGTACAGCAGCGCTAGCCGGGACAAGCTGATCTGCCATCTAGAACTGGTTGCCACTGGCACCACCGCGGAGCAAGTACTTCTAGCCGGCACAGCTCTCATCGTCGAGGACTACTGAAACGCATTCTGAGAACCAAAAACACCATTCATAATTTTCATCCATTTCTAACTACTGAAACTCGTCCCAGAATACAGAATCTATTATATAAATAATAATGCAAGCTCCAATATACAAATAGAGTGGAAAAAAAAATTTTAAAGTCGTCATTTTGAAACGAAAATCAATTTTTAATACAATTCCAAATTTGTAATGTTAGCATACTTTAAATGAAGCTAACTGAGTGAATAGTCAAATACACTTGGCTTGCTTCGTGTAGAAATTGGTAAATTGTAATGTAGAACATATTGAAAATTTTTTAAAAATTTTGATTTTTGTCTAAATAATATTTAATTTTTCAAAAAATTTACAAATAAATTTTTAAAAGTTAAAAAACAAATTTAATAAAAATTTCACATATTTATTATTTAGTGTATTTAGTCTATATACATATATATCATGTCTGTTGTAGAGTACCAAATATTGAGCATCAAGTGATCAGTGATCAATGCTCATAATTGCCACACTTAAAACTAATCAAAATCTCAAATTTTATTTAATCATCATTGATCATCAGTAATCCTAACTTTAGTAGATTTTTCCTTGCCCATATAATATGTCTAGAGTTCAAATTACTTAAATATTTATTGCATATTTCAATTACTCAACTTTTGTTAACTAATTTCATTATTTGAATGAAAATCAAATGGTTCAAGTTTAGATTTCGTATAAGCCTTTCACAGCTCTCTGGCATCTAAATTGGAATTAAGTACGCATTTTAAATACCGATTACTATCGATACTAAGAAAATGGAATGAGTTATCGAAAGACTAATAATAACCAAGTTCTGCTAATGCTGTACAGAAATTTATATGAGGTGTTTGTTTTGAAGCCCTGCAATTTTGAATCACAATACAATAAAAAATATATTTGTTATATCAATAAAAAATAACTTTATTAAAAAGAAATTTTTATGACTTAAAGTTTAAATATGATTTTGATTATGTGACAACCAAGTTTCATGTTGAAATAACAAATTTCACATTCATCATAAACATGAGCTTCACTGTTTTTGAAAACATATGGACTAAAGCCTCCATCAGATAGTTTTATGAATCCTTTATACCCTGCATTCTCATTTTCAATTCGTACAGGGTATAAACAAGTCTTGGGTTAATCTTCCAACTAGTTACATTCATTTAAAGCCTTGCTTCGATCACTCCCTGGTTGACTCTAACTTCTCTTTTTATTCAGCTATAAATATTTGACTGGCTTACAGCCAAGCTCAATAATCTTAATGAAGATGCGCATTTATTTTATTATATTTAATTGATATTGTTTTAATGGCAAGAAACATTTGCAACATTTGAGTCTGGCAACTGCCGTTTAGAATAACATTTAAATGTTGCAGGCACAAAACTGTTTTATGAGCTCAAGAGTGTCAGTGTGTGTGTGTGTGCATGTGTGTCAGGAGGGTGTGCGTGTGTGTGTGGGTGCACATTAGCCTCGTCATAATCTGAACTAATTGCAACCACAAAATGCCAGCCACAATTGAAGTGCGTCATAAATGTTTTGGGTCACAGTTTTACATGCGTCTCGTAGTTTTGCCAAGATGTTTGGACCCCGACACATCCGAGCACTCCCCACTGCCCCCACTGCCCCCACTGCCCCACCTGGTTGCCGGCAAAAGTTGCTTAAGTTTAATTAAGTGGCATTATGTTCAATTAGGCAAAAGTTTCGAATATGCAAATTAACACAATTTGCGAGCAAAGTGCTCGGGCGGGCGGCAACATTTGCTTCTGTGGCAGACAAATTGCTTTTTGCGTATTTGAAAAACACAAATCAAAGCAAATGACAACAGCAGCGTGGCGCCTCCGCCTTGTACGAAGACCCTTGTGGGCGTGGCCGAATTATAAATATTTCTCAGAGCTTTTAGTTTTTGGACATAAATAAATTATATAGTCATATAATAGGAATCAGTGAGGCGGAAATTATATAGAGAGAGAGAGCGGGGTAAGCGTGGCACTTACAGGGGGAGAGTAGGTGGGGCACAGGATTACCAAATTAATTTCTTAGAAATTTCTGACAAATTTGTTTGTAAAATGCTTTTGAGATTCATTCAGATTAACTAAGAAGTATTTATATTAATATCAAGCAGATGTCTTTGAGTTCAGAAGCATTCGCGAATAAAAATTTGTGTGAAAACGGCTAAACAGCTTAAAGTTCTAGTTTACTTTCTGAACTTAAGCAGAGATAAAATATATTAAAAAAATGCGAAACTTCTTTTGATGACTGTCTTGAGCTGCTTTATCTATATGTTTAATTTGGAATTTATTTTTTAAAAAAGTATATAATATGTTAAAAATATTACAATTAATTTAAATGGAATAAAATTATTATAATTTTAATTTAAATACAAAATTGTATAATATATAAAATATATTAAATGAAAAAATATATTTTATTTTTAATCTGCATGAAAATTAATATAATTATATAATATATTAATATTAATTCTAAAAGGAATTATATTTATTATATTAATATGAATTTGAATGAACAAAAATTATATAATGTAAAAAATGTATGAATATTAAATGAAATGAAAAAAGTTATTATTAATATTAATTAAAAAATTATTTAACTATTAATATTAATTGATATGGAAAAATTTTATTTTTGTAACTTCTTATCTTATAACTTCAATTTACACATCTCTTTAGCCCACTTTTGGGACTACCCTCACAGAGCATATATTTTTTAAAATTGTTTATCTTATCGTTTAAATATTATTACATAAATTTAACTATAAATTTTTTTTAGTGTAATTTGTTTAGATTTTGAAGATAAGATCTTTCCAGTGGTGCGAAATATTTTGGCTCTAACAAGAACTAAAAGAGAAATAAGTTAATAATAAAATGAAATAAGTTTTGCTTTAGTTTTAATCTTCTTTCTGACTAATTAAGTAGGTTAAATATATTTTTATTTAATTTAATTGTTCAACATTTAGCATAGGCTTAACTTGTAACCCTCTTCACATCAGATCACTCTCTCTACTTAAAGATAAGTAAATTTTCGTAGAACAATTCAGAATCGTATGCAGTCGATTAGGTATTCACTTAAGCTCAAAGTTCGCCCTCTGCCAGAGTTTGTCAAACGTTTGTAGCCAACTTTGATGATGGCATTTGAAATGTTCAATTAGAATTTGATAGGCGTGGCACATGTGAGAGTCTCCGCTTCTCTCTCGGGCTCAGTGCGTGTGTGTGTGTTTAGGCATGTGTGCTGACGTTTGATAAATGCAAGCAGACAAATGGATATCCTTGTAATCCTTTGGGCAGGGCCACAAACATTTAGCAGCTGCCTCTAATTGCATTTGGCTCGGCGTCAATGTCAAGGATTACAAATTAATTAAAGTATAAAGCATATGTGACGTGTATATCTCGTCCCTTCCTCATTGATCTCTCACTGTAGATGTAGGTGTAGGGGTCACATTTGTCTCTGGTCGAGTGGCACCTACACTTGCCATAATTGTAAGCCTGCCAAATGTGATTAATCAGCGCCCACAGCGCCACCGCTTACACTCGAATAGGTCGTTTGCGTCCTCAATCCGCTTGAACTTAAGAGTTGGCCCAAAGGGTCGCGACATAAGCCTAAAACTAAATTTCCATTGTCTGCCCTTTGTGCGCGCGGCTTCATTAATTGGCCAATTGAGTGGGCATTCTACTCCGAGTGAACAGAGAATAAACTTGCACAAGTTCAGTTGACAAAGCACACTTGATTCAAGCTTGAGTTCCCAGAAATTGAATAATTTTCCTTTCTCAACGAGGATGAATAAGAAAATAAATTTATAATTTGTATGCTTGCTTACGAAGCGAAAGGGGTTTATTAGTTTCGTTTGTAAGCCTTTTTGATGTTTTTTAAAATTTGATTTGATGGATTTAATGCCCTCGCCTTATAGAGTGTTCAAATATAATCAATAGAAGCTTCTACGACAAAACATGTAGCAAATCGTGTCAAGCTGCACTTTGCACAGTCATAGCGCAACAATTTCAGAGCTAAGACTCCTCTATATCTATATGGCGACGGCTAAGGCATTCTTCTATATATTTAAATATAAAATCATCAAATTTATCAAGTATCAACTGCAAATAGACCCAAAAGTTAGATGATTTGCTCATTGGAGCATGGCGAATTAGACAAAATGGATTTGCCAACAAAATATTACAGCTTTGGAAATGTGAACGAGTATTATATATATTATATTATTATATCGTATATTTATATATAAATGGTTTTC